ATTGTAAACCACACTGGACACAGTCCTGAACACCCTGCTGCAGGTGACCCTGAGTCAGCAGGGATGGACCAGATGATCTCCAGAGCTGCTTTCCAACCTCAACTGTTTTGTGAGTCTGTGTTAAAAAACAAACAAGTGAAAACAAACCAACCCCTACCACACAAACCAAGGAAACAGTTGAAGTAGCTCAGTTATGTCAAAGCTGTCTGTCTTTCTCAGCCTTTCTGAAAAAAAAAAAAATGTGAACAGGAGGATAGAAGCTACACACATGAGGAACAGCTGTCCTGAAAGGAAAACAAGTTATGCAGCAGCATCCCATCCACATGCACAGGCAGTGGAGATAAGAGAGCACTTAAGAGCAAATGTGCAGGAGTCTGGGGGTTGGCTGGGATGCAAGACATTAGGGAAAAACAGCACAAAGCAATGTGCAAAAACCTGGACATATGAGAACAGACCATTCTGTAAAAAGAGGGGTAATAATGGAAAATTGATTATCAAAAAGAAAATCAATAAATCAAAAAAAAAAAAATAAAAGGAGATATGTAAGACAAAAAGATGGAAGAACAGGGAAAACTGAAAAAAAAGTTTAATACCAGCATGCACATATTTTTCTGATGAGTAAGTCATTGGGGACCTATACATACACCAGGCTCTAAAGAGTTAATAGCAAGTGCCTGACTTGGGCTATCATTCACTGCACTATTACACCCCTCTCCACCCAATGACATAACCAAATCTCACAACCCTTTCCCACTAGGCATGTGGGAGCTGATTGCAGCACTATATCAAGTTTATTCTTACAAAGAAAGAGGAGCAAAAAAAAAAAAAAAGTCAGGAGAATGGAAGGTGGAGAAAAATGCACAAGGCAGAGGCTGTTCTGCAACTGCCCTGCTTCACTCCTTATAGAGACAGTAATGTGGGTTTTTTTTTTCCTTATTCAGGAGAGTTGTCAAGTTCTGCACATACACATTCAAGGTTTTGAACAGACTCTTATCAGCATGCAAATCATCATATTTATTTTTTCAACCAAAAAGAGAGCAAGAATTGAGAGATTTATTATTACAGGTCATGAACATTACCTATTGGTCTGTAGAAAACCAACTTCTTCCAACCAACTTTTTCAGAGAGGTTTCTACCTTTGCTCTTCCCACCTAGGCAAGACAGCCCAGGAGTGGGCTAAGAATATCCACTTCAGCCCATCGAAGCCCTCTTAAAAGTTTTCACAAAGGTGGAGGTACCAAAACATCACGGTGTGGGGCCAGAACGATGCATCCAGACGCTATCCAGGATCAGTCATGGAACAGGTGACGGGTGGCAGGGAAGGGCCTGCTCCCTGGGCCATGCAGCTCCAGCACGGCCTCCAGGACACAGACAGCGTGGGACAGGCACGTGTCTGGCCACCAAAGTTGTGGGGATCCTCTCCCCTTCTCTAAGGCCTGCGGAACCACGGGCCTATCCCAGTGCATCAAGTTAATGTATTGGTTCTAGTTGTTCCTTAAACAAACATGTGACAACAAAAAAAATTACGCCGTAGATTCTCCCTCATCTATATTTACCCAGACATAATACCGGCTGCCTACACAGTTTTTGTCTTGCTAATGCACAGCAATAATCATAGATCCACCCACACCCCATCTATTTTGGTGGAGCACAGAAATAGACGTTAAACCTATAAACGTCAGGTTGTGCCTTCATTTTAGATGCTCATATTATTCAAATTAGCACTTGAATGATGTTGCCACAACGTGATAGCTTTTCCAAATGATGGCACATTGCACATGAAGTGCACCGGCCCTGCTTTAAGCACCTCAGGCCCATTAGGCCTATCTGCAATTTGGTGCTTTCAGAAATGCAAACACATGGCAGGAGAGATGCGGTCTCTTTGTTTATGCCCCGAGTCCCCAGGGAAAAGCTGCTGCCATAATTACCTGGCTACAGCTTGAACACGAAGGCTCCGGTCGGTAGGTGAACGAGCCTCGCGCTTGGCTTCCAGCTATGTTTGCTAACAGCTGTATCTTTATTCTTACGGGGGCTGGAACAGCGTATTTTCTTGAATGTGTCCGCTGCATTTTGGAACAAGAGTGATTATCAAAGGCAATGCTGTGGGTAGGAAAAATATTAGCAATCAAGTGAAAGAGGTAAATAATGTCTGCCAGGAAAAAAAAAAAAAAAAGGTAATAAAAACAAATTATTCATTTTTTTGTTGTTGTTCTGATTATTGAAACCACTGTAAGATTAATTAAAATAAAATGTGAGAAGACAGACAAGTTCTTTAAGGGACACTGAAATGTCATTGCAAGAAACTAGAAAAAAAAAAAGTGAAGAATTGTGGTGCAGTTGGATCAGCTTCATGCTGGTTACAAGGGACAAAAATCAACCCTGCTCAGCAAGAACGCTGCAGGAGGAGACACGCAGCTGCAGACAGCCAGGGGACAACATGCTCATTGTAGGGTGCAGCAGCGCTGCCACCGTTCTCGCGCCCAACACACGAGGCTGAGCACTCAACCGCGGCGCCCATTCCCAGGAAGGCCATATCCGTCACTCATTAGTCCTCTTATTACAGCAATCCTTTGGCCACAGCCATCCCTTTTCGTTACAAACAGCGTGCAAACGGAACACGGCGCTTCATCAGGCGGCAGAACAAATTGATTTTGTTCTCTGGAACGGGAGCCGCAGCGTCCGCCCGCGCCGCTCGGGGACAGGCGGACGCGGATCTTGGGCGCGCAGGAGCAACAGTGACACCTCGCGGGCCGCGCGCACGCTTAGCAGGAAGGGTCTGTCACACGTGCCACGTTCCACGGACTGTGCAACTGCTGGAAAGCTAAGGCAAACCCACCTGCCCCCCTGGAAACGTGGCACTGCCAGCGCAGCCGCACGCCGCGGCCCAGCCCGGGGTGCGGGTTACCATCCAGCAAGCCCTTCCCAACGCAATTCCCCGCTCATCTCATCCCTTTTAGCCATTTGCTTTGCACCACAGCACTGTCCCAGCTCCTAAGAGTAAGCTGGCAGGCGCCTCTCAACTCAAAGGAAAGGCACTTTGTTCACGTTTTCCAGCTCGGTCCAGAGTTAGCTTAATACTGCAATCACACAACGCACCAAGCACCAACCTGGCTGCGATTCCGCTTCGGGGCAAGATGGGGTCAGCACCTGCTCCAGCAGCTCTCCAAACCACGCAGGAATCTCTGCTTTACTCCCTACCTTTTCCACTATTGCTCCTCCCTTTCATAGGCTTTCAGTTGGAGCAAGCTAATTGTATTAGACTTGAGTATATAAACTCTGTCCCTCTGTCCCCACACTGAACATCTGGACAGGGGATACTGCTAAGCAGTCACCATTCCTCTTGGGAAAACTTGTTCTTTCTAATTGCTATAAGGAAGGTTTGGGAAAAGTGAAGCCTACACTGAATGCATTTAATAGATAACTCTGACAGTAAGAGGTTAAAAAATGGAAATACAGAATCAATACAACTCTATGAACTGATGGAATAATCCTGAGATGAAGCTTAAAACATTACAGCCATCTGTGATGACTCCATAGATAGGTAACTGCATAACACTGGCTAGGGTTAGCTGCTTCAACACATAAAACTCCTTCCAACTACTGCTTACCTCGTTTCAGATTTACATTAAGCTTCCAAATGCAGAACCTCTGGACTGTGAGAAGGGCACCAAATTCTTGCACGGGCCACGGGAATTGCTTGTGCAGACGCCTGCCTTTGCTGCAAAACACTCTGTCTTCTTGCAGTGATGGTGCTGAGCAAGGCAGCATCACGGTGAAGGAGGGATAACCAACGTGCTTAAGAGTACTCAGACACAACAGATCAGTTTGTGCTTTTAACGTGCGGCTTCAGTTGGAACCTATCCATTACTAGTAGAATGATGTCCAGTAAAATCCAATGGACTCTCATGGAAAAGTGAACAAAATACAAACTTAAAGACACTTGAAGTAAGTATTCTAGTTTTAGAAAAGGGAAAAGACAAAACAAACCATCCCACACCTTTCTGACCAAATGCTCCGTTCATAAGAGATGCAAATACCATAGAGTTCCTGTGTTTCCGTTCATAAGAGATGCAAATACCATAAAGAGAGTTCCTGTGTAAGCCCTTCACAGCAGCCTGACCTATTTCAGCTGTGTCAAAAAAGAGAAAAAACACTATGATAAAATCCCCATAGTAAGTGAAGTAAATGCCTCATGACAATTACTTCTACAGTTTACTTCTGTTGGTGGTTACAGTGTCCTCCCTCCTCCTTCCAAACGAGTTGGACAGCATCCTTAGGAGCTCATTCTAATCACTATCCTCAACAGGCTTGTGTACTGAACAAACAACTACAGAAGACAAGTACCTTGGACATGCAAAACTCTTTTCATCAATATTTCTATCACCACAGTGTCTTTTTACAAATCCTTTTTCCCCTCCTCTCACAAATAAAATATATTTTACAGGTTTTTTTCATCTTTCAGAAGAGTATTTTTAATAATAAACACCAGTATTCCAAGTGTAGAAAAAAAATAGCCAGAGATCATGGGAAATGCAACAATGACATTTATTGGAATTTCTCCAGGCATTACATGAAAAAAATTGATAGGTGAAACAGAGGATAAAGCACATTGTGTGTATCTTAAAAAAAAAAAAATACATCTGGATAACCTTGATTCTCCAATGCAGTTCCCCAGGATTGGTTTGTATGTACATATCAGATAAAACTTACTTTGAACAAAACTGAAAAGAACCACCTTTTCACTTGGCATTCTTCCACCTGGTACAATGTGATATTATTGAAATATTTAGATGGAGTCCACATAGGTTTCATACGCAGTGTTAAGACCTTGCACCCCAACTGTAATAAGAAAGACTGTTAAGTAAATCAATATTTTAATCAAAAAAAAATCTCCATGAAGTAAAAAAACAGCAACAAAAATCGAGAAGCCCCAAACCCCTACGTTTCACAGCAGTGTGCAGCAAATTAGCATGGCTGTTCCTCAGCTTTCTTTATGTCAGTGTGACACTTAGAAAGTAAATGCTTTCTACATTGGACAATCTTATGCATGAAGACACTGCTGGATTTGGCACTTTGCTTAATTGTTTTTCTTACTAAAAAGAATACGTGTTTCCTGAAATACAGTATAAACGGTAAGAGATAACATGAGCCACTGCGACACTCAATTTAACAGTTCAGACATGCATCCCAAAACACACGTCTATCACACAGTCACCTAAGCTTCTTTGAAACTTCTGCTTGAAAACGTCTCCAAATCTATATGCATCTTATCCTGCCTCTATAAACATATTTTCTGTCTTGAAATGATCAGAGTTTAACCCTTCCCTCTCCTCACAATACAACGTTCATGATTTGTTTTAAAAAAGACCATCACAAAGCAGTATTAAAACAGGAATAACCTGAAAAGCATGAAACTGCTCCTCTACTTCAGAATCCTCCTTGAAATGTATATCCACTAGACACGTGAAATCCGAAAGGTCCGTGGTACTCGAGACTTGCTTGGTCCTCTCGCAGTGCAAGTCTGAGGTCCTTCCTGCACCCTGCCGTGACGCCCCTCGCAGCTGAGATCCAAAGGCTCCCGCCACCACAACACAAGGCTTCTTGCAAGGTTTCTTTGGTTAAATAAGAACCTAACTATAATCACAGCAAGTCACCTGGAGAAAACTAACACCAGAATAAACACCACTCCACAGCCTTACTTCCTTCCACCTACCACCCCTGACGAGCAGCAGGACAGGCGGAAGCGACCAGGCCAGGAAGGCGGTAACAGCCACAGTTACCTCTTGCATTTACGAGTTCTGCATGTGCGTGTAGAGACATGCGCTCAAGTCCATGTTAAGCGCTAGGCTTAGCTGTGACATGATGCTCTCTCTTTGCTTCCAACATGCACGTGGAATTCGGCTGCTGGCCGCTCCAGCCCGGGCAGCGGATGGCACGGAGCTCTCCCGGCACGAGCCGGGAGCGAGGCGGGAGTCTGGGGTTCTGCATGACCGGCCTGTGGACGCGACGTCGGCAGAGTTCAGCGACAGGCACGTGTGAGTTCACCGCGGTGCTCCACAGGTGGTGTGAAACGTGCTGCTCTTCGGAGGAAAATTACTTTTTTTTTTTTTCTCTCCCCTCTTTTCAAGTATTATTCAGCATGTATATAAGGACACGTTATCCTCCTTCCACTACGAGACAAGCACATCCAGAGTGAAATTGTAGTTCACCATTATCTTACCTTTGACTACCAGTATTTTTTCTCTTCTTTTCCTTTAGGTCAACTCTAAATATACATCTACTCATCATAATTACATGTGAGAATTCTTTACTTCTCCCTTTGCGATTTATTTACACAATCATAAAAAAAAAAAAAAGCCTGAATTTGCATACTGAGATTTGAAGGCCCATCTGTAGCTATGAGTGTCCCAGCACTAGTTCTGGATAATACCGTTGCCTATTGCTTTCTAAGTTGATTGAAAGCAGCATGCTTGTTTATTCTTTCCCTTAATATTTGAAGTTATGCTGCTTAGAAAACCCTGATTTATGGCTTATTTCCTTATTTTGTTTTATTATTTGGATTATAGTTTACTTCCTTCAGAAGCAGTTCACAGTCAGACAACGCTTCTGTCGGCAAGTACTTCATTATCTGCTCAAGAGTCTTTTGATACGTTATCTTCTCCTGTTCCAGGGACTGAATCACAGTCTTCATTTTGTTCTCTCGAGTCAAAATAGTCTCCAGGCTGGATTCCAGGCTCTGAATTTTAGCATGAGCAACCTGTAAACAAGAACATTATCTGTATATTACATTGAGATATTTGATTTTTATTATTATTTGGTTAGGACACAAAATAGCTATACAGCTTCTTCTGAAAGACATCTATGCAGGCAGATGATAAAACAAGCACCTCAGATAAACTCCTTATGCACAAGGTAACTTGTAAAACAGTTGAAATCCCTTCCGAGATGAGCTCTCTACTTCTTGGCTTTCCTTTTTGTATAGTGGCCAGATTAATCTGAAGGATTTCTGAAAGTGTTATAGAGGGAATGGGATGTGCCAGTTGCAGCGAGTGAAAACAGCACAGGGAGGGGAGATTTGCCCAAGAGTGTCAAAGCAAGGGAAAACCTATGGGAAAAAAGTAAAGTAGCAGGATGGAGATGAGAGTGGGAAAACAGACCTAAATAGCTCAGCCTAGTTCAGAGCTCCCCTCTCTCCAAACAAAAGACCTGCAGCTTCCTCCAGAACAGAGGCTGAGCTAATCAGAAACCTTGGACCTCAACAGCAGCAAATCTCTGCCTGCAGGAAATAGAGAAACTCTAATCAATTGTTATTAGAAAAGGGCAAGAAAGCCCATACAAACCAAAAGATAAAGCGGTTAAGATAAAACTGAGGAAGATATATCAGAATACAGCAGTCTGAGAGAACAGAAAAGCTTCCATGGAGCCTTGGAGCCTTTTGAATCATCCGTAATATTTCTGTGCCCTTCCCATAGTTTCAGAATGGAGATAAAAACCCAGTTAGTAACCCAAGTATTCCCATGCTAATGCCACAAACACACAGTTTGCAGTCTGCCCATAAACACCAAAATAATGAGGATATGCTATAATTTTTTCCTTCCATTTTCAGGTTTCAGAAGCTGAAGGTTCCTCCAGGATCTTCTCAACAGTGGTCAAAATCTCCAAGCAAATATAGAAATAGTAGAAATAGCCTGGTGACACAAGCATTCCAACCCCCCCCCCCCCCCCCCAAAAAAAAAATGCAGGACCTGAAATAGGCCCAGCTGCATACAAGATTGCAGTCAGGACACCTTTCATACACAGCCCTATTGGCTACATCATAGACACAGACCCTCCGTGAGTGAGTGATCTTGAGTCATTTACCTGCAGCTTCTCCAACAAATCCATGTTTTGTCTCTTTAGGTGGCTGTTTGCTCTCTCCAGCTTCTCCAGAGATTCACCTTCATCACAGGGATTCACGTTTTCCTGGAGTTCATCCTGCAGGACGTGGTACTCTACTTCATAAGCATGCAGCTGTTTTGATATATCCATCTCAAATACCTATCAAAACACACACACATACACACACACACAAATATTTATCTGCATAAGAAAAAAACCCATACAAAAGCTTGGTCAAGAGGCAACTCCTCTTGATGATCTTCATTTTTTTCTTGTTTCTGTTAGTACAGCATTTTATGTGCAAGCCTGCAGTAAAAGCATTTTAGCATATAGCATTCTTAGTTGTAGCCATAAGAAGTCACAGATTTTACAGTAAACTGTACCACCAGTTTTACAACTGCCATACTGTCTCTAATGATAATGACAGATAATGATGCCTCCAATAGATACCATGATAATGATATATCAACAGAAAAGTCTTAGCTCGTTCAAGAATAATCAGGTCAATCTTATTATATTACTTGGAAACATGAAGTAGTAGTAATAATAAAGTTTAAATTAAGTTCTCACCAGCCTCTGATGGGAGCAGAGTCTCACAGTGAGGACGAATAACCCAGGAATCAGAAACTACCCTCAAATTGGCATCTCTTGACTCCAAGTCCCCATTTATAAACTTTTATGAAACACTGTACATGATTATATAACTTCTCTAAGCTCCATCTCTGACATGAAAATATACTACTTTCCTACTGATAACCCCCTAACTATCTTCAGTAAAGCCTACAACGTGCTTAGGTCTGCAGTGATGAAGCTGTATCCACACACAGATCCTGCATTTGTATCTGTAGATCTCTATCTGTATATAGACCCTTATCTGTATATAGATCTGGTCAGAGCCTCTCAGCCTCCAAAAGAGTTACCAGGTAGTTTAGATAACTAAGGGAAGGATGCCTACAGTGAGGTTAAATCCACTTCTTATTCTAGAAATGACAAACAAGTCAGTAACTGAAGACACGAACATGAATTCCACTTTAAGTTCACTGTTCCTCTGGTAACCCGGATAGGACGTAGTAATTTCAATCACATAATGTGTTCAAGTGGCCCAACCACATCCACCTTCGCTGAGGTGACCAAACCCACCCTTTACTCAACCAGGGTCTATCACCTTTGTCCTACCATGGTTGATCTGCAGCTCACACAGACTGCAGGACAGGGATTTAATTTATAATTACCTCATAAAAAGTGAATTACTATCTCTGTCATTGTCAGAATTGGTGAGTTGTG